TACCTAGTCCGGAAGGCTGTCTTATACTGATCATCAGGATGTACCTCTATTTGATGGTATCCGGACTTTTAAGTCTATCTTAGAGAAGTACTTGGCCCCTTGCACTCGATCTAAGAGATCGTCTATCCTAGGCAGTGGCTCATCATTCTTTACTGTGATAACAATTAGACCCCTATAGTCTATACACATCCTCATCTCTCCCTCTTTCTTAGAGACAAAGAGAACAGGGGCTCCAAAAGGAGACGAACTGGGCCTAATCCAACCCTTTTCGAGGAGCTCGTCCAATTGCTTTCGTAGCTCCTCTAACTCCCGCGGGGACATCCTATATACAACACCCTTAGGAGTTCTACTGCCAGGCTCTATCTCAATACGGTGCTGAATGGGCCGCGGCACCGTGCCTATCGGCGGCTTAGTTAAATCCTTAAAACTCTTCCAACAATTTGGCAATAGTAGGGTCTACGGGCTTCTCTTCCTTAGGCTCAGCCACTGGCCTAATATAGGCGACAAAGACCTGTTCCTCCAATTTCTCCTTCTTCACCAATCTGGCGAATGCGGGCGCGCTCAGGCAACAATGTGCCAAGGAATTCTCTTCGCCTGACACATGGAACATGCGGGCAGTCTTAGCCTCGCCTGAAGAACTAGGGAGCCTACACTCGTGCTCCTTCAAATGGAGCGTGGCCCCGGCTGCCTCTCCCCAATCCATTCCCAGAACAATGTCGAATGGGAGGCTGTCTTCTACGAGGAGAGTCAGGGAGTGGAGGACCTTCTCCACTTTCCCATCCTTCTCTAGGCGGAAATACGCCTGGACTCCCTCTACGTACTCCTCTACAACCATAGTACGATTGTCTGCGAGGATACTAACTATGGGATCTGCTAGCTTTTGGACTTTAAGCCCCAACTTCAACTTCTGCAGCGCCTTCCTACTAATATAGCTGCGGGTAGCCCCTGAATCTACTAGGGCCCCTACTCTACCTCTACCAGAATTAGCTGTCCTTTCTGTTCTTTTTTCATCTTGGCCCAGGCGGGCATCCTCTCCTTCAATTCTTCAGCCATGCCTGTGAGGGAGGTGTCTAAAGAGACCCTGACACAAGCAGTCTCTGGACAGCTGTCTAAACACTGGCCTGCAACCTCTGCCATAGGCACATGTGGTGTGGGAGTCTCCTGCCGGCTAGCGCTATGTTCCCCACATGGCCTAATGGTAGGGGCAGTTGCTACCCCTACCGGCGGCTGCCTTTTGGCCCTTGGGCAACCGTTCGGGTCTCTATTTACTTAGGACAATATTTGATGATATGGCCCGGGTCACCGCAGAAAATGCACTGGCCCCTGTCCAATCGTTGTTGCCATAAAGCCTGGTCCAGACCCAAAGATTCCCAAGGCCTACCCTGAGGTAGCC